TATGTATATATATATATAATTTCGGGCGGAAGCCTACATCTCAGTATGTTGTTGGACTCCCTCCTTAGATCCAGCTCCTTAGATCCAGGGGAAGGGGAAGCGGTATATCCACCGACTACACCCACCATGATTAGGAGTTGTTTTCTTTTTGTTATATTTTTTGGGATTACGTGTAGTTGTAATTCCTGTGAGTGGGCACTTTGTACCCACTCACTAAAACCTTTGTATTCTCTCTTTTATATCAATGAATTTTGTCTTTTCAATATATATATATATTCCATTAATCACATAAAATATTTGCTCATATAAAACAAAAAAAAAAAGTATTTTCAGATTAAAAGTAGTGCAATTGAAGTGTAATTCATTAGTTTTTTTTTTTTTTTGGGCGCTTTTTAGGAAATTTATCCAAAAGGCAATTTATCCAAGAATGAGACATTAATGGCATTTACACCCTTATAAGGGGCCAATATGGCAGACGATTCTCTGGATGCATGAAACCAAATCCATATGTTTGATTGTGAAGAACACACCTAACTCCATATAGCCATGCTAGGAGGAATTCTAGTCTATTGAAAAAAAAAATCGTTTTTGATATAATTTGACTTATTCAAGGACATTTACTTCTTTTGGTTTGGTCATTTTGTGTTTGGTTCTGGGATGATTATTGTCGACATATTTTATTTTTCAGTTATGATCCGGAACTTCATATTTGCCTTTGCTATTCCTCTAATAACAAAGGCAAAGAGAAGCATTTTCAGGGAAAAAGTGAGTATCATGTATGATATTAATCTACAATGAAATATATACAACAATGAATTTTCTTTCTTTTTTTTTCCTGAGAGCGAATTCCTGAGACTGAGAGCGAACAGAATTAATTTTCAGCTAAAAAATGGTGTTCTAGGTACTTCAAGGGGCTTCTTTCTCCTTGGAAGGGAATTTTACTGTTTGGTCCACCTGGAACAGGGAAGGTTTGTTCTTAACAGCCTCAAAGTTCTCCATATTGTTGGTTCTTTTATGGGTAACTTGTGAATGTAAAACCGGCCTTTGATTGCAAAAGAAAATTGGATGGTTGATTAACAGACGAATAAGCATTAAAATTTTACCAAAATTTCGGTTTTCTATCTATTGCGCGCATGTGATTTCAGTTATCTTGGTTTTATTTGGGCCTATATTGCGTTTATCTAACAGTTAATGTCACTAAAATTTTAATGCATTACTTTAGAGGTATAGTTAATCTTGAGATTGGTTGATCATTCCTGGCAATGAAATGGCCTTGATTGCATCTCCCTGAAAAGTCTTGGAGTAAACGAACCAACAAAAACTTCATTGAGATGCATGCAGCTGTGATACTCATGCCTATAAATTAATTTATGAACTTTCTCCAGCCACAATTTCATCTCCTTTTCGCTTAGATTTTGTGGACACCTAAAGCAAATGGCTCCTTATAGGTATCTAAATCTACTTTTTCGTCGGAAATTGAATAGTAGATTACATATTAATTAGAAATTTCAACCTTAGTAATGCTTTTATTCTTATTCTAAGATTTCTGATGGGTGTTAGCCCCTATGATAAATTATTCCTCTTGATTGCCAAAGGAAATTATTGATTAATGATATCATAAAATCCTATTTAAGCTATTGTTTAGCATATGGCTTCTAATATCTTTTACGGAGATATGCCTCTTTCGTGCTTAGAGGAGATGGGGGGATGTAGGTAAACATTCTCAAGATTTTCTTGTTAGGAATTTAATTACACGACAAACCTTGACAATTTGATGTACCAAGCGGCTCAGAAGCACTAAAACATGGTCCTTTGGGAACACTTGAGTTGCGAACCTTGATAAATGTGTTGTTGGAGGGCATATTTTAGGTAGGATCACTTGTTTAAAGGCATCATATTCATCGCCTTATATGCCAAAGGCTTGACGAACTTGGTCAAATTACTATGACATGTTGTGAACATTGGTTTATTTTATATTTTGGTGCCCTTGTCATTTTTCTAAGCACATGGGAAAAGTGTGATAACTTAAAGCACAAATTATACATTTTTTGTATTTTATGTTTTAATGTTATTTGTACTTCTATTTTTTTTTCCTTGGCAAAAATATCTTTTGGGTCATCAAGGTACGAAAAGTTAGGTCTCAAGATTAGTAATTTCTTTTTTTTGGCCTTTTTTTTCAATTGATGCATGAATCTAAGCTTGTCAAAATTTATAGGGCATTAAAGTCTTTTTTGATCATTTCAAAGATACACTGGGACTATATAGTAATTATCCACTTTATCTCTTCCTTTTTTCCGAGCAAGTGTCTTAGCATGCTTATCATCTCAAGTGGAAAGCTCTATGAACTCAGGCAGCTTATCAATGCATATACATACTGTATCTCGCTGGTTGTTGATTTTTTTTTTTTTGAGTAGCACAATGAAAATTTGACATTACAAAGGTCTTCCTACAGGATAATTTGGCATACTCTTTTTGGAATAGTTTTTTATGGACATTTAGCTAATTTTAATTTTATTCAACCCTATTGTGGGGTTAATTTTATTTTGTTTATCAATGCAAAACTAGTATTATAGATTTATTAAATCTTTGGCTACCATAAGTCTATTATTGTTTCACAACGAAAATCACGACCACGTCTGTATTGGCTTGAAACTTTGCTGTTTTTTCTTGTTGGAGGCAAGTGGCTACCCAATATTGCTAGATTTGGGAGCAAATCAAGAGTGTGGTTTGCATCACTTAGTCAACTATGATCGGATGGAGTGGTTGGGTTCTTGATGAATTAATCATTTTAATCGTGTCATAAAGGATAGTGTTTCTATTTTAAGGGTTATCAAGGCTATACATCTTGTCAACCTTATCATTTAAGAGCAAGAGAGATAATTTGAGCATTTACCACATTTTCCTCATTATTTCAACCCACTTTTATGGTTTTTTTTTTCAAACTGGATTTTTATTGAAATCCGTATTTTTATGGTTTTGAAAATATTTTAGAGCATTTGTTTAAATTTCCAATTTTTTTAAGTTTTAAAAGCCATTGAATATTTTTGCAATATGAATATAATGACATGGTATAATGGCAAATTATGAAAAGTTTAAGGTTTTTTTTTTTTTGTTTTTTTTTTTTGCATTTTGTATTGTTGGTTCAACAAAAATAATCTCATTGAAATGGGCTATATGGTCATGTGACACAAATTGGGTTCCCTAGATGACATGATATGTTGATTGGCATATTTGCATGGCAAGTGGGTCCGATAAGCTGAAATGGGGCCGTGAATGTTGTTAAGCTGGTCATGGATTGTTTGTTCCTTGCACATAATTATGGTGTTTCACATAATTGCACTTTTTTATTTTTGCATAAATAGGCACGTGTCAAAGGAGCTCATTTTTGAGATATTTGCAGCTATTTATCAAACTTGCATGGCATAATTAAGCTTGTTTTAGCAACTCTATTTTGGTGGATTCATATTTATATGCATTGTTAGCATATAATTATGCATGAGACAAATTTGTTCTTTTTTTTTTGGGACATGTAATTATGTACTTGGAGTATGTAATTATGTGTGACACATTTTCCATACTGTTTTGTTCATATGATTTTTGTGTTTTTTTCCCATCGTGAGATTGGGTGAACGATGTAGCTAAGGGGGCTTTTGTAGCCCTATTCTTAAATGCCAAGCCTTTATTCATTCCAACGATATTATTAGTCTATGTTCAAGTTGGCAAGGTTTTTGTATTAATGTTAAGACATTATCTAGTGTGTTTTGATTTGGTTATTGTTGACAATGAAACATGCCCACTCCCTATACCAATGCCACGAGAGATTTATTTGTCTCATTGTAATCACGATATGGAGCAGCATTTGGACAAGTTATAAAATTATCCGAAGTTTTAGAGTTCTTTTGTACAAACTCCTATTAAATGTATTTGTATGTCTGGGGATGAATGTATATTAGCACTGTGTATCACCCACATCAACAATGAGGCTGTGGATTGTGTTATGTATATAGCATATCAACATGACTTAGGCCCTTTCTCTCACATTAGGGCAAGTAGGTATTGGTAAGATGCCTGACATAAACTCTTTTGAGGTCATTGGACCGCAGCGATCTCTCAGTCATTGATGACTTGAGGCATCCCCCATCCATGCTAAGAAAAACAGGTACGAGTTATACCATAAATCTAAGCAATTATGATTTATTAGATATTTAAGAACTCTTGGTTGACTGCCTTAAGGTGACGACTATGTATAATAACTAAAGGAGGGAGCTTCTCAATGCTCTTATAACTAGTGTAAGCTTGTCATCAATGCATTGTTCTGACAACATTTTCTTGGCATTCTCTAGTTAAGCCATTCATTCCACTCATGGGGGAGGTATTTGTAAAGGAGGACGGCACTTTTTGCCGCTTTGGGATTAAAATTGACAGGACTGGTTAGGGACAACTAGAAAAACTTGAGGGGACTAGCCCTCTTGGTCGGCTAGGAAAGGTGAAAACTTCTTTCATGGAGGGGACTAGCTCTCTTGGTCGGCTAGGAAAGGTGAAAACTTCTTTCAAGAAGGGCTTCTCATTTTTAAATGACACCTAAATACTCATGTTCCATTTTAGTTTATTGTTCATAGAGTGCATAAAGACATACCTGTTAATGTGCTTTCTAGTGCTTGCTGATTTTATTTTGTATGGGTTTGATTCTGGTCTTTTTAATCTGCAAGAGAATATATAGGGCATTTAGGACCCGTACATCTTAAATTAGTGTTTTAATCAACAAGGAAACCAATTAGGAGGAAGCCTATTAAAATGTGATCTATGCATAAATATGTGTACCTTAATTTAGGTTTTCTTATGCAAAATGCACAATTATACTTCCGGTCACGTGTGATCTCAGGTTGATTGTGTCCTGTTTAAATGTGAAGAAAAAAGATTGTGACCTTGATAGAGACTTTTTCAACTCTAGTCGCCCATAGGATGTTAACTTGGACCCTCTAATGGAACCGCAGATAAACTCTACCCATTTGGAGCTAATCTTAATCTTATATCATGATCTGTGTGCTTTATGGATGCCTAACAAACTATGTTTTCAAGCTAAAAAATTTATGAATATAGTTAAAGATGGAAAGCAATGTTTAAATAGGATTTTTTTTTTTTCATGTAAACTTCTATGTTTGTTTGCAAAACAGTGGTGTTGTTACTCAGTGTTTTATAGGTTTATGCGTGCTTTTTTCCTTCTAATCATTATGAGATTCAATTTTTTTTTTGGTAACTCACATATTGAAGTGTAGATTCTGTTTGAAACAATTAATTTGTGATATAATTTACTTTTATGTCGAGCCATATTTTCTTAGTTATGCTGCATACAGCATCCAATGAATTGCTGTTTCTCTACTCTAGTCTTTCTTCTTCCATGTCCACCAAATAATGTTTACTAAATAGAGTTGAATTGAAGGGCAGTTTGTTTTACTATTTACTTTGAATGCTATGCTGTGCTGTGCTGTGCTATCTTAAATAAGAGAGGTTTGATATGATGTTCATTTTGACATCCAATTAAGTAATCTAAATAATATTAGTAGGATAGATTGAGGTAAATTAAATAGCGGCTAAAATGAATGCTATATTAATTACCTCAATTTCGATGGAGAAATTAAAAAAAAGGTAAAAAATATAGAAAGATCATGTCGGCTCAAAAAATTCTCTTCTGGAACTCTCATTGAGAGCTTTGTGTTTATTCTAGGCCATATTTTCTCATAGCAAATGAGATTGAAGGGCAGCTTGGTTTACTATTTACTTTTAATGCTATGCTATGCTATGTTATCTTAAATAAAAGGGGTTTGATATGATGTTCATTCTAACATCAAATTAAGTAATTTAAATAATATTAGGAGGAGATATTGAGGTAAATTAAATAGCGACCAAAAAGAATGCTATATTGATTACCTCAATTTTTATGAAGAACTAAAAAAAAAGAAATAAAAATAAAGATCATGTATGCTCAAAAAATTCTCTTCTCGAACTCTCGTTGAGAAGTTTGTGTTTATTTTAGGCTAAATTTTAAGAAGAAAAATGAGGTTGTAGACAAGACATTATCTAGAGATTTCACCCTCATTTTGTAGGGACTTTAAAAAATATAGTTTAAGGTTTTTCATTGTTGCAGGTCCCTATGGTTAATTACCCCTCCCCTTCCCCCGCGCGCATGCAAAGAAAAAAATAATGGGAGACTTTCATTTATAGCCTGACACTTGGCGATAAGTTTTTAGATTTAGTATTATGTAGCAACAAATTTATAATTTTCATTATTAAATTTATCACAATGAGCTTAAAATTGGGGAAAAGAAGATGATGAATTTGATACGTACCAAATGTTGTAGTTCACCATACACACAATTATACGTGTCGTTCAAGTAGTATACAAAATTAAGTTCGTGAATCAATCCCTCGAAGAATGAGTGAACTCTCAAAGTCCGAAAAAATTCTAGTCTACTGGTTTTAAATCTAGCCTCAATGTTTGGATTTTGGTAATTCTAAACCTATGTTTTTCAAAAGAAAAATTCTAGTTTAAATATGTGAGACATTTAAATGAGTGAGAATCTCCTATGATTTTGGTCCTAAAAGCTTAGGGTTAATAAGTGACAAAATTAACTGTGACAATCAGGAGCAAATCTTTTTCTTAGCCTCTCCCGGTGAAAATAAGGAAGTTTGGACATCAAATAAGTTTAGCTCCCTAAAACAAGTGAAAATCCTAGGATTTAGTATTTTCTGACAAGATTGCACCAACTTAAGAACAATGTTCATATTCTCTTAAGTTAATAAGTTTTAACATGGTTGCTCCACATAGAATTCATTCAAAACTCCAAGATCGCGAGCTTAACAATTCAACTGTCCTGGTTGAATGTAAATGAAGATTGAAAAATTAAAACTTCCCCAATTTAATTAATTAATTTATTTATTCAGCTTCAACCGTCAACAGATCTTAATCACCTTTGATAGTTCTAAATATTGTATTTAAAAAAAATGAATTTGAACCAAACGTGCTACATCTCATGGTTAACACTACTATGTGAATGGTGCTGCCGTCTAGATAACAACATAATCAAGTAAATAACGAACTCAATGGATTCTAAATGAAAGTAATTCTTATAAGTCATCAAACTATAAATTTGTGTAAAGATGTTTGTGAAAAATTGGTTTTTCATTTCATTCAATAATCAGTAGGAAGCTTGAAGAATGGGAATTTCAAAAAAACAAATCCGAAGATTTGAGATAAAAGTCAATGATAATGGTGATTGATTAAATATCTCTTGATTTGTACCTTTTTTTTTCCTTTTTCCCCTTGTGGACGGTCATGACAACTGGATAACATAGAGATGCAAGCACTTTGTAGTGTTTTAAATCTAGGATTTGTTGTGTGTAATGTAGGGCATTTATAGGTGTAACACTCAATTCTTATGTATTTGTATATCTAATTCATATCACAAAAAAAATCTATTTTATTAAAAAGTGAAATACACCTTTTCATGCATATGTAGTGAAATACACCTTTTCATGCATACGTAAGATGGTATATATGTATGTAAAAATTGAAGTTTTGTTGTTATATATGTAAATACATAGGAATTGAATGGTATGATTATCATTTTGTTCTTTATTTTTCTTCAATTATAGTATTCATGGACTGATCTTCTTTATTTCTAGACTATGCTTGCAAAAGCTGTCGCAACTGAGTGCAAGACAACATTTTTCAATATTTCAGCTTCCTCAATTGTTAGCAAATGGCGAGGTTTGTGACAGATAACTGGAGTCATTTTTCATCTTAGTTACAATTATCAATTTAAAGTAGATCTTTGTATTTTAACTTATAATTCATCTAATTTGATTGGACTCATGATCTTTTATCTCGTCTTAGCATGTATATTAATTTCTTTTTTCTTAATTGTCATTCTATTTTATAAATCATCTAGCTTTTATTTTGATCACTGCCCTTTTTGCGAAAACATTTTAAGCCTCAATATAGTTATTTTTTTGTCACACTTTAAAAGCACATGTACTTTCTTAATTACCTTTTGTACCTCCTCACCCCGCTTGTCTTGCATCAATGCATGTTCTATCTCTAGATTTGCAAAACGTATACATAATTTTTCTTTACAAGACTGGGCATATTATTTGCTTTTTAGCTCAGCTACAGGATGTCAGTTTTCCCTTTTTAGCAACTCGTCTTAAAAGATCAACAATTTTTAACCTTCTAAGTTCCTTCATTGATTTTTAGGGCTATTACTTTTGATTATGTTCTTTTTTATTAGCGGAAAAGATCAATGTTTTTTTACCTTCTGAGTTTCATCATCTAATTTTTAGGGCTATTACTTTTGATTTTGTTATTTATTCCTGCTATGCACTACTTTGTGTCCTGTGGTCAGTCTTTTTTCTTGAATCGTCTTACAATATTTACAAAAAAAAAGAAAAAAATTTCCTTCCAAATAAAAAATTATATTTGTAATTTGATAGCTTTATTTTCTTTATATATATATATATATATATTTATATATTTATAT